CGAGGTGCGTCGCGCCGCCGAGAGCGTACACGGCCGCCTCGTAGCCCAGCGAGGCGGCGGAGCCCGACTCGGGGAGGGGCTCGCACGTCTTGAAGAAGGCGCAGACCGCCCACAAACTGCTGTCGTCCCGCGAAGTCTCAAAGACGGTGCAGTCGTCCGTCGAGGCGCAGCGGCGCGCGCACTCGACCTGGGGGTTGAAGGGGGTAATCTCTCACCATTCTCGGCCCCGATTTCCCGGCAGCTAGGGTATGTGCTTCACAGCTGTGCTGCCTATTATGATTTGCTGTGTTCGCAGTGGTGCTACTATCACGATTTACTGTGTTTAGCAGTGCTGTGCGGAGATGCGCGCCAGCTGCGCCTCCCACCACAGTGAGAACGCCTCGTCGCTCGCGCCGCGCATCTCCGCCATGTCCATCTCCATCGCGTCGCCGACTTCATGAGGATCTTGGTTGCACGCCGTATTTGCCAAGTGAAGGTGAAATTGCGGCGACGGGTCGCCGTGCGCTGCCGCAAGAAGCAGAGGAGCGAGGACCAACATGGGGTGCCGTCGGCGTGGCCCTCGTGGTTAAGGTCCGCGGTCGGGGGGCCCTACAAATTGTGTCACGCTTCTCTTGTTTCTTTTCGTGTACCTGTGTTAGTGCCGATCCCGTGCCCAGTGTTGTGCGAGGGAGTTTCGTTGTAAAATTCTTTTCGACTCCGAGCTACGTTACGCTGACGGTCCCCGCACCCGGACCCGCGACATACGTTACGCGGCAAGGGCCAAGGCGCTAGGACCTGCCTGCCAGTGCTGTCAATACCATCCGGAGTTTGGCTCGCTCGCTCTTTCGCTCAGATGCATGGACAAGTAGCCGCTGCGGCCCACCCATCAACACTACTACCACGCCCAAACCACTGACTGTGCGGCAGATGGCGCACAGGCGCTGTTGAGCTGTATGAGATATTTCGAGGTGGGCGCGCGCGCGGATGGGCACATGGGGGTTTTGGAGCGGCGCTCGAGAGCGAACGGCACGACACGAAAAGGCAGGGCGAGGCGGATGGAGAAAGAAGTGCCGAGGAGGCCATGGTGGAGGGGAGGGACGGGAGGACGAAAGAAGGGCGAGGAGGACGGGCAGCCCGCACAGGCCGCGAGCAGACAGCGCCTGCTGGCCATCTCGAGACATTCGCAAAGAACGCTAGCTACATGGGAGGGCTTCGTGAAGGATGGATTGAAATACATTCGAACAAAGAAGAGGCGACGGGAGGAACCGGCAGAGGATGCAGTGACGTGACACACACACACACACACACACACACACACACACACACACACACACACACACACACACACACACACACACACACACACACACACACACACACACACACACACACACACCGCTCACCCACGCGCACCGGGCCTTGCACTTTAAATGCCGTGGGGCTCCTGTCGTTAGACGTGGAGACGCGAGGGTTGCCCCCCCTTGCCCCACCACCTCGTGTGTGTGGAGAAGTTTACCTTACCTTACCTTACCTCTGCCCGCGACGTGTGTCGTGCGTGGCACTCGAGCGAGCGCGTATAATCTATAAATAAAAGCCTTAGAAAAAGAGCCGTGTTTCATGTGTGCGGTAGCGTATCATACCTTCGCGAAATCGCGGACGCAAAAAGACAAAAGGAGGGCAACGCATGGACATGCCACGAGCGCGGAGTCCGAAGAGGCGCGCGAGAGTCAGCAGGGGGAGAGACCGAGACTTCATGTAGCGAGGCGGCCGCGTGCGCCTCACTCGTATCACTCGTCCGCGCGCAGGTCCTTGACGGTGACGGCCTAAATTAATAAATTAATCAAGTATTAATTAAAACTCGTCGTGCGCAGGTCCTTGACGGTGACCGTCGCGGGAAAGGGGTGTGGTGAGCGGTGCGCGGTGCAGAGGAGTGCGAGGCTGTTGCAGAAGTGGCAAGAGTCGGAGAGGTCAGAATGGGAGGTGTGGGAGCGGAAGAGAGGAGAGTGTGAAGAGTTGGTCGCCTTTTGGACGAGGCCGTCGAGATCGAGGAACGCCATCCGCACCTGGAGACAGCGGGAGGCGTGCTCACGGAGGTGTCTCGGAGGTGTCCCGGAGGTGTCTCGGAGGTGTCTTGGAGGTGTCTCGGAGGTGTCTTCGGTCCCTCTCTCCGCGCACCGGTTTGGAAAGGTTTGGCTGCACGCGCTTGTAGACCTGGTCGAGGTCCTGCTTGCGGACGCCCTGCGGGATCTCGTTGCCTACGGACAGACAGGCTCCGGCAAGGCTCCCGCAAGGCTCCCGGCAGTCCCGCTGCCACGCGGAATCTCGCTCGCCGTGCTCACGGATGAGCTTGATGATCGCCTTGATCGCCTCGAGCGCCTCGCCGTCCGAGTCGGAAAACTCGAGGTTCGACAGCTGCTTGCGCCACGCCTATGGAAAGGCGCCGAGAGGGCTCCGAGAAGGGTCTCGGCGCCGATTCAGCTGCTTTGCGTCACGCCTTCTTGTAGTCTTTCTGCATCGCCTGGTACCTTGCCCGCTTCTCCGCGGCCTCGTCGAATCCAGCCTGCACGCCAGTCAACTCCGCCGCTGTGCTCGCCAACGCGGCGGCTGGGCGCAGCGCGGCAGTGGCGGCGGCTGAGGCGGCGGCAGCAGAGGCGGCGGCGGCGGCCACGCCCCTTCCGAGCGCGGCCCTGCGACCCTCCGTGGGCACGAGGCGGAGGGCACGGCTCGAGTGCACAGCGAGGGCGAGGCAGGCGAGCCGGAGCAGGCGCATCACGGTGCGGGCGGAGATGAGGCGAGCCCAGCTGGGCAAGCCCGACCAGCGAGCTGTTTTGCGGCAGAAAAAATTCGCGTATTGAGTGGCCCTGGATGTTCTCGAGGTTCTCGAGGTGGATATCCTTTGGCCGCGTTGGGTGTGAGGCTACTGACTGCACTCCAAGTGCTCCAAGTGAAGTGCTCTCGTGCTCTGCCCTAGGTCGCACAGAGGGGCGCGGTGCTGCAGGGCGGCAAAAATCTATTCTTGCTGTCCTTACACGGATCTTACACACAGCGCACTGTGTTTGCCCAAGTACGCGGTAGCCACCGGCGCACGCGGCACGGCTCATTACCAACCACTCTCCCGCGCCTCCCTGCGGCCGTCCCCGGCTAGGTGGCACCATGGCGGCCTCCGCACACTCTCTTCCACAGCATCGTGTCCGCGCCGTACATCTCGCGCACGTACGCGCTGCTCTCGTCGCTCAGCGCCTCCCGCCGCGCGCTGTGCCGCGGCCTCCGGCACCGGCTGCAGTTGTGCGTCACATGCTCGATCGGATGGTCGCTGTCGTTGAGGCCCGACCGCGCGACGAGGGCGGACCAGTCGTCCGCCATCGTTTCGGTGCACAGAAAGTGGACCCGGTGCGTGGCGCAGGCGAGGCCGCGAAGGTAGTAGTGGCAGAGCGAGCGCTGGAAGAGGGGGGCGTAGGTGCGAGCCACCAGCCCGTGGTCTGGGTCAGAAGGGTTGCGCAGGGCGGCGACAAAGTCGTCCGCGCTCCGCCGCCACGGCTGCGTCCGGTGGTTGCGACACGACTGCACGCCGGAGACGAGCCGCGTCGCCGGGTCTCGCAGCGGGACGAGGAAGCAGCTCGTCCTCCGCGCTAGGTCCCTGCATTCGGGCGGGGGCGGCAGAGTCAGAGGGAGGGGAGAAGGGCGAGGCAAGAGGCCACAGCAAGTGCTGTCTCGCCGCTGAACCCGAATCTTGCTCTCGGAATCGTCCGAAACAGTGTCTCAGAAGGGTTCACGCCTGATTGCCCTCTTGTGGTCGTGCCGGATTAGAGCGCTCCCTATTCGTCATCTCAGGTATCACCTCCAGCACCTTTTGGTGGTTCAAGAGGTGCTTGGCTTGCTCATCGAGGCGTAGCGATGCGCAGGACACTACTGGACTTGGCACGCGCCTCCACTCAGCGATCCCATCGCACCGGCCAGAGACCGAGAGCCTGTCAGAGGGGCAGCGCGGGGAATGCACACGCATACTCTGAAGGCCTGCAGCGCTCGAAAGGCAAGTGTCCGTGACTACGTAGATCCGTGGATGATCGCGGATGTGACTGCATCTGCAAGTCGTGCTTCGTCTCTTTCCAAAGGCCTTTCCCATCCATCTATCTACGGCTGCAGACCGCTCCACGGCGGAGCGAGGTTGGCGCAGTTGGAGAGGCTGCCGCTGCCTGAAGCCTGCTGTGCGCAGGAGGCTGGGCTGGCGGAATCAAGCAGTGGCGCGCACTCGCCGAGCGTCCTGCTCAACCCCCACGCATTGGCCATGTCGGGCAAGAGCGCGCCCAAAAGTCGATACCCCGCTAGTATGTATCACGCACCCATGTTTCGCTAGAAAGAATTTAACCAGGGGAAGAAAAGGAGCGGAAGTGTGCCGCAGTGAGTGTGAGTGTAGGTGCCGAAGTGTGCTGACCAGGTTCTTATCTACTCACAAACTTCCGCAGCGTTTCCCTGTGAATTCGAATCGGAGTTAGGTTAGGTAGGAAGTGAAGAACAGCCAGGCTCGGACTGGGCAGTGGGCACCAACGCGGTATGGGTGGACGCTGGACAGATGATGACGACACGCACGAGCGACACACAGACACAAACAAGCTCACAAAACACACAGCCAGCTCGTCGGAGTCCGAGGGAAGAATTCTTGAAAGAAAGAAAATCTTTTCGTTCGCTTCTCCCTTGGGCTGTTCCATCTTCCCATCTCCTTCCAGCTCAGGCGAGGCGGGGGGGGGGCGCGGGTGCGGGGTGCGGTGCGGTGCGAGTGTGTGCGTGTCATGTGGCCACAGCAAGTGTCCATCCGTCTGTATCCGTCTGTATTAATATTAACAACGAAGGCGCTCTCAAAAAAAGAAAAAGACCGCGGCTGCGTCGCCAAGGGGCCAAGGGGGTGCCGAAGAGGTGGCATGTCACACGGCGCCAGCGAACTACAGCGCACTACAAGCATTTTCCGTAGCCTCCGTCAACCAGACCTCTGAAAACACATTCCGTAGGCACCATGGGAGACCTGGATGAAGAGCCTCGCCACGAAGGCGCCCGCCGTGTCAGCAAGCAGGCGAAAGCGTCGCTGCCACCCTGTCGCCACCGCCAGCCCATTCATGTTCACACCCGAGCCCTGCCGGCCCTCCCTACCACGCTGCCTGCTGCTGGAGCTGAGCTTCCGACGAGAGCCAGTGTCACGGCTCAGCGGCAATACACATCTTTGGCTGCCGCCCTCTCTGGCGCCCGCAGATCCCGACAGACCCGTTCCTTCAGAGCCACCTGCGGCGCAAATGCTCCGCCCAGCGACTCATTGGTCGTTTCTCGCCGCGCAGATGCTGACCGATATCGAAGACGCCTACGACGCCAAGGCCAACGCGCCCGATTTCAAGCAGCAGCTCCACCCGCACGGCCGCATGCCGACCGCGAAGGAAGCCACGCCAAGATGCAGCCGAGATATAGCCGAGGCACAGCAGAGGAGTCGGGGTGGCCGCTGCCTCGCTTACTCCCAGACTACCTCCTCCCGCGCCGGTCAGCCTCTCTTGACGCGCCTCTCCCCCTTTTGCGAGCAGGAGGTGAAGAACAAGGCCTTCAAGCAGGTTGCTGAGGTGGCGGTGGCGAACGCGGGTGTGGCGCCGTCCGCGAGGCGGGGTGGCGCATGCCCGTAGGCCAAGGAGGAGGCGGAGGAGGACGCCGAGCCACGGTACGCAGGCAGGTTGACAGCGTCGCAGAGCTGCGAACCTTCCACGCACCTTGTCGGAACCTTCCTGCAGGTACGGAGGCGTCTTCAAGGCCAAGGAGCTGCCCGCCGTCGACACGAAGCCCATCCTGGACGAGGCGTGGCAATGCGCCGAGATGCGGCCGAGATGCCAGACGCGAGATCAGCCGCGATGTGCCGGTGCATCGGCGGACCGTCCTCGAACCTGCCTCGAGCCCTCTCGGGACTCTTTTGCGCCACAGGAGTGCCACAGCCGCTGCGTCAAGCCGTGGAAGGAGTACGAAAAGTGCGAGGCGCGTATCGAGAAGGCGGGCGAGGGCAACTGCGCCTCCTGGTACAGCAACCATCTGCCACGAGCACGGGTGGCAGCTGTGCCTTTCCCGAACTCCTCTACGCCCCCCTCCTCTAGGTACAGCGACTACGTTCACTGCGTTGACACGTGCGGCGCCAAGGTTCTCTTCGCGACGCTGAGGTGAGGGGTGGGGGGCGTGTACGTGTGATGGGGCGAGAGTGAGTCCTATTTTCCGGCTACTGCGCCTTGCACCCCGAGATAGCAAAGCAATCTCGTCGAGCCACAACGCATATGCAAAAGCACGCGCAGAGTCGGACTCGCTCAAACGAGATTGAAATTATGAAAATACAAAAAGTAACGGTCATCGCTCATCGGTCAAATTCAAAGACACAAATTGATTGTGACACAAAGTGCTCGATCCAATTGACTTCATTTGTATCATTCAGAGCTCAGGTAAGAATGCTTTTCCAATGTAACCAGTCGCGCGCTACACGACGCGCCGTCTACGCTCCTGGGGTGTTGGCGGCGCCGGATCCCGACCAGCGCTCTATCTGCGCTCGTCGGCGGCAGCTTCCCCCGACTGCGCCGCGCTCGGGGAAGCTCGATAGCGCCTTTGGTGGCATGCAGCTCTTTGCGCCTGAAGCCTCTCGTATGAGAACAGCTCCTCTGCTGCTCGCCCTCGCTCTCTCGTGCTCACACGCTCTGTGCACAGGTGTCACAGTCGGCTGACGTCTGTGTTATCAACGAGAAATGTTCAGCAAACCCAAATCCAAATCCTTTGCGTGATCGCTTATATTCGACAACGTATTCGACACAATGCGCGTGAAAAGGCGCCACTGAACACAGTGGGTCTGACAGTGCACTGTTTGTTCGTGCCCACACACACGGTCGGATCCAAGGCTTACTTCACACTTGTTGCATGCTCGGCACGATCTGTTCACTCTCACATCTCGCTCCTCGTCTCAATATTGTACAAGTCTGGGGTCGAGGCATCCAAGCGCAAGCCGAAGGGGCGAGGCAAAAGGCCCCCACCGATGCGCCTAGCATGCGCCCTAGTAGAGCATGCCCTTGCACTTGCCCTCAGAGCTTAGTCTTCGGCCAGGAACAGTTTCATGATCTCCGAGACTTTATCCTTGTTGTCCTGCATTAGGTCCACGAGCTCCTGAACGATGATCCCGTAGGCAAGGGTAAAGGTCCCAGTTGGCTTTGAAGTTACCCAGAATCGAGTACTGCCATGGGCATTTGTCGCTGTCCTCGCCGAGGTCCACACGGATTAGGTGGTAAGTGACCTTCTTTCCCCCGAGGATTCCGAACCAGTTGTTTTCCACTGTTATTGCTTCCTGGATTTTGCCGATTCTCACCTCCTTGAGGCACGTGGTCTTCGCGGTTGGTGTCAACCTGGTCGTCCAGTTCATACAGGGATCGCCTTGTGTCGGTGAGCACTCAACAATCTTCTGATCCTTCCTGCGTCTGGGGCTCGCAAAGATACTCAAGTCGTTGTCCCACTCCCATGGTCGATCCTCATCGTCATTGTAGTTGAGAAAGTGTGAGGACAACGTCTCGTAGGAACTGTGGGTCGTTGCGTCTCCCTCTGGTAATTGTTGTTGAAATCAAAGGCGACGACCGTGGTGTGATGGGCGCTGGGGTCGCGGCTATGCGCCGCGGCCACCGCCTGTGCGACAGCCGTGATGTCCGTTGGGCCGCCATCACTCAGTGCGTGGAGGCCACCCGTGGCGAGATCGATCGTCGAGCAGAGAGAGCCTGCGAGATGGAGGGCGCCTCGCTCACGTCCCTGAGAAGCTTGGAGCCTTGGTCGAAGGCCCGGCCGGCGCTGTCGCACCTAGCATCCTTCCCGGTACACCCCACCCTCGAAATGTCGAGAGACGTGTGTGTCTCGCGCCTTGCGTGGGGGGAGCGGAAAGGAGGAACCTCTTCCCAAGAGCACCACTCTTGGAGCGCCGCCACTACCACCCAGAGCGCTGCAAGCAGCGCCGGGCAATGACGGCTTACCGCCCACCCAGCCCCCCCTCGGCACACCCCGGCAGCCAATGTGTGACGGCTCGAACCCGCTAAGCCATCCCGCAAGCGGGATGGCCCGCCACTCGAACCCGCAAGCAGGCGTACGAACCGCGAGCGGCTCGCACTCGTGACACGCAGGCAACCGAGACCTCGAAGGCGGCCCGCGAGGCTCGCTTTTCGAGGCCGAGTCGTTGCCGAGAGAGCCCACATTGCCGAGAGAGTCTTGAAAGACAACATGTCAGTGAGCAAAGACGCCGGCAACGACGACGAGGCTCCACCCTCATACGGCGAGGCCTCTCGCTTCGGTCAACTCGGCCACTCTGACATCACGCTCACGACTGCGGCCTCTGACGCCCACGAGCGCCTTGCGCGAGTGATCGACGAGGCGCGCAGCAAGCCAAAACCTGTTGAACCTGCCTCGGTCGCGGTCTCCATCGGCAACGTGGCAGACGCACGGACCGCAGCCGCAGTGCCGGCTGTGCCGTTGCAGGCGCATATCCACGAGCGCCGCAGTCGCAACAGAGCCTCCGCTTGCTGCACTCTCTTCGTCCTCATGGCCAGTGCCGCCTGCGGAGTTTGCCTCTGGTATGGCTTTCGAGTGCCACCGGAGCCGTCTGGGGCTCCGTCCGCACCGCCACCGAGCCCAGCACCCTCGCCGCCCTCGCCACCGTCACCGCCGTCACCACCGGCATTGCCACCCCTGGACGTGGGCCGCCTTTCCTGTGACTCTGAGGTGTCGGGCAGCACTGTCGGGGAGCCGAGCTTGGGCGGCGAGCCCGCCGGCGACGCCTCCTTTCTCTTCTGCGTGACGATCCCTGGCCGCTTCACCTTTGACTCGTGTGGCTCCCCCCGCGCCCATTCCCTGCCCTCTCCCGCCTCACACTCCGTCAGAGCCCCCCTCCCCCCTTGCGCAACAGGAATTTTGACAATTAACCAATGACAATCGATGGGCTTGCCAACGAAAATTGATGGGCTTGCCCATCCCGGAGTGGTTCGACCCCACATAAATCCGAGACGGTGACGGGAAGCGTCGAGTGATCTCAGGCCCAGTGAGGCAGTGCACAGGCTAACCCGGATCCTGCTGAACAAGCTCCTCTTGTAGCTCGATCGGTCACACCGCCATCGCCGTCGGGGAGAGGGGGGACGACACTGCTTCGGCAGCGTGCACCTCGATCCTGTACCGTGTTTGTGATGACCCCCCCCAATGAACATACCAGTGAGGGTGGGCGAGACGATCGAGGGGTCCCGTACCATGCGGAATCGACCCTATCCATCATCAAGCGTGGCGGCCAAGAGCTACAGGCGAGAGGAGAGCTGCAGCCCACGACTGCAACCAGATGGGCGGGCGGGCGACGAGGCCGAATTTCGCCCGCCCACTATCTATCAGTAAACCTCGCTCCAACCGTGAAACCCCCGGCGTTTTCGTGAGCGACGTGGAGCGGAATGGCCGGGAAACAGGCCGAGGGGTCGAGGGGGTCGAGGGGTCGAGGGGGGCCTCGACCCCTCGGAGGCCCCCTCCGGAGGGGTCGAGGGGGCCTCGACCCCTCGACCCTCGGAGGGTCGAGGGGTCGAGGGGTCGAGGGGTGCGAACTTTTTCCGCGGCGTGCTGCGGTATGAGTTGAGGAAATCGGAGGACGCGACCCACTTCGCCACAGACGGTCCCGCGCCTCGCCGCTATGACGGGGACACACCCCGCACCGTCCGCTGTGTCCCCGTCTTTGTCCGGAGTGAAAAGTCCAACGCGCTCGTCGGTGGCGGCTTCCCTCAACCTGCGCCGCGCTCGGCGAACCTCGACAGCGCTTTCGGTGGCATGCAGCTCTTTGCGACAGAAGCCTGGAGAGCAGCTCCTCGGCTGCTCACACGCTCTGCACAGTTGGCACAGCCTACTGTGCGGCTGCCACAGCTGTGACAGCGATGGGCTCGTCCTCACTGGCCCTCAGTCACTTGTGCTGCGGCTTGTGTGAGCGACACTGCTCGGCGACTGCCGGCACACTGTGAGACCATGGGGGTGTGAGGTCAAACCACGCTACCAGCGCTTGGTCACGTCGGCCCTGAGGTCAGATCCTTCTACTCTGTTGATGACACGACTTGTCTACTGGCTGGAGCCGAGCAGGAGGAGGGCCCGGCGCGCATAACCCCTGGGGCGTACGTCAACTCACCCTCCACACGACCCCGTAGCAATACGCGGCGCGGTGGGGCTGGGGGACGGGCCGGATGAGAGGGAAATTGCCCGCGCGCGTGCCGTACCGCGTAGGGTTACTAATGAGCATTCCCTCATTTTTGCCTGAAGAGTGCGAGTAACACGCATGCACCCGTCGCGCCAGCTTACAAAACCAATGCCCCACTGCGCGCCGGAGCCAGCAGCCCTGACTACGCGATGAAGCTGCCGATCTTGACGGCCCAATCGAAGCCTGCGCGTCTCGCCTCCTCGTCGCGGCCGGCGTGCGAGACGTCCTCAGCGGCGACCTGCAGAGATCAAAGAGAGGAGGAGCTAGGGGCCAGGGGGCGGTCTGGGTGCGAGAAACGGGTAGCGAGAGAGGGAGAGAGGGAGAGAGAACAGAGAGAGGGGAGTGAGCGAAATGCGTGCCTGCGTGTGTGTGAGTGAGAGAGGGAGGGAGGGAGAGAGCGAGAGAGCGAGAGGGAGGGAGGGAGGGAGGAGGCGGGGGGGGGAGGGGGGAGGGTTGAGGCGGGGGTTCTAGCGCCTGCAGCGCCTCGAGCTTTTGCGTCGTCAGAGCCGCCATCAGCCGGATCTGCTCCTCGTCGGTGCCGCCGCACTTGGAGGCGAAGTACGCAGCGACTTCAGAGGCGGTGGCGCTCAGCAAATCGACTTCCGTGCTGGTTGTAGCAGCATCAGCCGCGCTGCCAGAAGCATCGGCGCCGTCTCTGCCGTCACCATCACCGCCGCCGCCGCCCTCGCAACCGCTGCCGCCATCTTCGCCGCCGCCGCCGCCCTCGCAACCGCTGCCGCCATCTTCGCCGCCGCCGCCGCCCTCGCCGCCGCCGCCGCCCTCGCCGCCGCCGCCGCCCTCGCCGCCGCTGCCGCCATCTTCGCCGCCGCCGCCGCGTCCATCGCAGCTCGTGCCACCGCCAGCGTTGCCGCCGCCAGCTTCGCCGCCAGCTGCGCCGACAACGCCGCCTGCTACGCCGCCAGCAGCGACGGCGCCGCCAGCTTCGCCGCCAGCAGCCACGTCGCCTCCGCCCTCTCGAACCACGGCGCCCCTCCGCTCCGGCATCACCCGCTGCAGCGCCTCGCGCCTGTTTCACAGCCGGCGCTGTGAAGAGGCGCTGGTCACAAGCGTCGGCCGCTGCGGCGCCGTCTCGCCACGACGCGCCGCTTGCCCGAAGGACAAGGAGCTCGACGACGTGGTTGACCTTGTGAAGTAAAAAGAAGTGTGATTGGCGCGAGTTCCGAGGACGAGAAAGCTCGACGAGGTTGGCTCACCTGATTGACGTGAAGTAAAAAGAATGAGGTAGGTGGCTCGGAGGAGCGAAGTGCTCGACGAGGCTAATATATCTGGTTCACCGCCAGCACCCGCCGCTGAGACATGGCGAGGTGTTCGTCGATCGGAAGGCGGGCAGTGCGCACGCCCGCCTAGCGATTGGTCAGGGTTTAACGCAGCCCTAGGCGTCCTAGTGTAGGGCGATGTTTCTGGCGCCGCCCGACTAGTGATTGGTAGGAAGTGAGTCAATCCTACGCGCGCTGTGCGCACGCCCGCTTGTTTACGAACTAATTGCGAGCGAGAGAGCAAGCGAGCGAGCGAGAGGGAGGGGAGGAGAGAGCAAGAGGGAGGGAGGGAGGGAGGGAGGGAGGGAGGGAGGGAGGGAGGCAGGGAGGGAGGGAGGG